CCTCCGCTCAGCCAGCCGAGGCGCTCGGTAAAACTCCAGCCATGATCTCACGTGCACCATTCCACATCTTCCCTTCTCGCTTCCTGCCAAAACACTCCACATCGCATTTTACCAGCTACAGATTTTATTTAGGACTCTCCGGTGGGTTTTTTCCCTGATTTCCCCGAGCCGTGGGCAGAGGGAAGGTGACCCAGAAACAGGCACAGCACAGACTTGTTTTCGTCTGGGCGCGAGTGCTCTTCCCCACGCTGAACCCCGAGAATTGCTGCTGGGGCTTGACCTCAATTTCCTGCATTCTCACAGCCCAGGCCCGGGGCCATTCCAGCCACTTTGGATACCCAGGCAGACGTGAAGTTAATTAAATCCAAGTGTCAAGCTTATGATACTCAGCTGCCAATTTAAACGCGCTCGTATCTCTGCGGGAACACGCAGAATACCAGCAGTCTGCTGGCACCTCCTGTGACCAAGGGACGGATTCTGATTTCCATTACAGCCGGTGTAAATCCAGAGCCACCGGCTCCATTCAGGATTAATGCCGACCCGACGGTCACACAAACACATCCCAGCGGAAGCACTTTACAGGCTACCAGGGGGATTTGTCTCAGAGACAAACCCTGGCAGTTACCTTTGAAAAATCACAACTGAGCTTTTCAAATGAGCTGCTGAAGAGGTAACGCTGAACTCTGCAACACACAGGGCACGTGAGGACGGCAGGCCCCTTCCAGCCTCCGTACGGGGTTCCAGAGGTTCTGCCCTACCCCAGAAATCCCACCGCGGCCGCACGCAGGGAACTGAACATCAATAAATTATGAGAAATGGCTCCGCAGCCAGACTACGCGCTCTTTCCAAGTGGCCGAGAGAAATAAAACGACAGAGCGAGGGTCACTGGAGGATCTGTTCTGAAATTTAATGTAGACGCTCATTTAACAAGAACCCTGCTGCTGCAAGAAGCAAAGCCTTGTAAATGTTTAACAGAAATAAGAAGGGGCTTCGTTCTGTGAATAACAAGATGCGGATGTGCTGAAACAACCTCAAACAAATACATCTGAAACTGAAATAGAAAGAGCACACGTTAGTGATTCTGATAATATGTACGTTTGTCAGGAAACTAAATATGTTAATGATTCCAAGATAATATGTTAAAATAGAATTAATATGCATGATCATTCTGGGAAATTTAACGTGTATGTATGTAACAGGTGGACATAAGCCCCGACTGCTGCAGTGTACAGCATGTAGTTATTCCCCTCGCACATCCAGCCGGAATAAAGAGAACACCAACTTCTTCACGCTACACTGGTGTTAAGGAGTTCGATTTCCCGATTTGGGTGACACTGTGGAGGGGAGACTGAATTTTCAGGTCCCTGCTCCCCTTACCTGTCCTCCCCCCAGACCCACCT